TAGAAATCCATATTATTTCCATGATAAATGACGATATAAATCCATCATAAATGTCTATTAGACATCTGTTATCGATGTTTGATAGAAGTATCAGTATCCATAGTAACGAATATTGTTAGGGCATCGTTGATGTCAAACGTTTCGGCTGATCATTCAGCCATCTTCAGTGCTAACGTTACAAATCTGTTTAGTAGAAAGATTGTGGTTTCAATTCGTCATTAATAAAATTATTTGGAAGTAAAGTCACAAATGTGATTGCGAGATAGTCTTGTTTATGTAGGTGTTAACAGAATGTCACCATGTTCTCGACTGTCTCACAGTTCTTGACTGTCTCACAGTCGTGACATTCTGTTAACACTTATATAAACAAGACTATCTCGCAATCATATTTGTGACTTTACTTCCAAATAATTTTATTAACGACGAATTGAAACTACAATCTATCAGCTCTATGAAATATCTATGGAACATCTATGATTGCTCCATATGATATCTATGAATATATTTAATGGATGTCGAATGGAGGTATGTAATGCGGAACTGTGTGGATGTCTAGTAGACATTTATAGGAAATTACATAGACATCTAATAGAGGTTTCGAATCTCCGTGATGGACATCTAGTGGATATCCATTAGAGCTTTTTGTTCCGTGTGGGTATTCCGCTGAGAGAAAACTATTAATGCTAATAGTGATACATATTTTAATTGAATAAAATTTATTGTTTCTCTCTTAAAGAATGTTTTTATTTTGATTTATAAAAATAATAATTTTATATAGTACAACGTATAATATACTTATAATGTAATTTTTCGAGCATGCTATTATTTACAATAACTAGACACACAAGCACATGCCACACGCATGTCATTTATTCTTTTAATTACAATGAAGTATAAAATATGTATGTACAACCATCAAAAACTTCGCAATAACAACCGCTCACAATATGAACTGAGCGCAACAAAAGAAAATTGGCATCGCGGAAAAATGGCAACAATAAACTTCGGTATTATCGAGATATTGGATAACATGCCTTTTTTAAAAGTGGACTAGATACACATAAGCACGCGCTGCTACACATGCGCGCTATTTATTTTTTTAATTACAAAGAATATATATTATAACTCTATTTAAGAAGATACTTTGAATATTTTCTATAAAACACAAAAATAATAAAAAAATATACTAGTACTAATCTTCTCAAAAATATGAAAAATTAAAGTAAGCAAATTTCGTAATGATAACCACTCGATAGCACGAAGTAACGCACAATGCGCATCGAGATAACCAATCAGCGTCGCGGAAAAGCGGCAATAAATGCGAGTATCGACTTTACATGCCTTTTTTAAGGTAGAATAATGTTAATGCTTACGAGAGGCCGCAAATCAGGATGATACAGAACTCTGCCATTATTGTCAACAATAAACGAATATCCATTAACCCCTAACTGTAAATAAAACAGCAAACATTAAGATATTTATAATTGAAAAAAAGACAAGAAAATAATCTATGTTTAAAAAATAACAAAATTAACTTTTTTTTTAATTTTTTATATGAACGTTATTTCCTGATAATTAGTAACGTTTTGGAGTAAACATTAAGCTTTAACCTTTAATAAATTATACATATAGTAAACGTTGCACCACGTAAATGACGCTTACACGAAAAATTAAAAAAAAGTTAATTCCGTTATTTTTCAGACATACTGTGTAACCTATTTAAGGACCAGTTGCACTAAATCTTGCAGCCAACTTTTACTAACAATAAGTAAATTTCTTCTTTGAACAAATGAAGACATTTCTTCGTCTTTCATACAACATAGTTCTAGAAAAAATAGCTTTTTTCAAACACAAAAACGTAAGATATCTCTTTATAATTTTTTTATGCTAAATACGATGCTTTAAAAATGCTCCATTACGTCATAATTTTGAGAAATTCAAGATCAAAACTGTAAAAAGGAGCTATTTTGACATGAAAATTATAAACGGTTGTAATTTTAACAATGTTTCACCATGTTGAATTTATCAATTTATACTTATATAGTATATATATACTATATAATTAGATTTATATTTAACAATCTTGAAAATCATCACGTATGTTCCGTAAAAATTGAAAATATGCAATGAATTATTCACAGCCCTAGTTCTACATAATCTACTTGCGATATAATAGATACAATATTTAATCATCAAAATTTTATTAATCAGAATGTACACAAAAAATTTCTTTTGAAAGTTGAAAGCTCTAGTAATATATTTTATTAAAAAAGAAACTTTTCTAACACATCGCATACCATAGTTATAACATGATAAAGTATGTCAAAATAGCTGTGTTTTACAACTTTGACCTCGAATTTCTCAAAATTGTGACGTGATAAAGCATTGTTAAAATTGACATCGTTTTCAGCATTAAGAAAATTGTAAAAAAAGATATCTCGAATTGATCTTTTGCGTCGTTTTTTTTTTTTTTTTGTTAAACTGTGTCATTCATCTTTAAGAAATAAAGAATAAGCAAGCTTTAAGAAATTTTTCGATTAAAACAGGAAAAGAAGACAATGAGAATCGAATGCAAATATAGATGCGTTCATTAAACTTATAGGAAAAGTATATAATATAAATTATTATCAGACATTAATAATAATGTTCCACAATATTTTATATTTATATTGTACATTTTTTATGCAACAATAATTAACACATTTACATCTGCATTCAATCCGTATTACCTCCTCTTTTTTCTATAAAAAACAAATTACAATCTGAAAAAAAGCCAAGTTTATTGAAACCAAATGATGCAACTGGACCTATATAAAATAAAATAAAATAAACGATGTAAAATATGTCTGTACCTTGTAAGGCGGCACGAGTTTCTGAATCTCCTCAACAGGTACATCAGTACCGACAATACCTAATAAATTGGCTGTTTTCACCTTTAAATGACAACGCATACAGTTAAAGTATAACTTATTTATATATTATTTCATATTTAGGATTAAAGTAGCACAATTAAAACATTATGTACTTATCATTCCCAAAATAATTACCGTATGATTTCGGCGATCTAAAATTGGTGCTGTCACAGATGTCATCAATTGTCCACGATTTTCTCTACCATATCTACTACTCTGAAAGTGAATGATTTCTAATGTAATCTGTCACAAAATATTGTGTATGTAATTTATGAATAACTAATAGTTCACACAGCCTAATGGAATAATTAATATAACAAACATAATCATTATCCAGTAAATACAAAGTAACAGTAACATAACATTAATGTTATAATTTTCCACTCAACAATATAATTGTTACGTAGGGTATGTTATATTGCAGTTATATTACATTGTTGAGTGGGAAATTATAACATTGACGTTAAGTTACTGCTTGTGTTTATTGGGTATATATAGGGTGATTCAAAATAATAACCATATGTCCTTAAAGGGACATATTCCTGAGCGTATTCTGAGACTTTATCGTCAGTGTCAGCTGATTGTAACAGGCGCCTTACATAAGCACGTGTGTAACAGAGAGTTGCGCCACCCCTGCTTGCCTCTTGTACTCGACTCACGATACGTTAACTATTTTCTTTTATAACTTGAAAACTAAGCTCTGGATAAACTTTTGCGAAAGGAAAAGTTATCTCAGAATACGCTCAAGAATATATCCCTTTAAGGACATTATTTTGAATCACCCTGTATACTCGTATAATAATTGGCCTATAAAGTTAAACATTTCTTTTTGTTGTCTGAAAAAGAAGAATAGTTTTTCATAACTTTTGCGCTGAATTCAAATTTGGCCTGTGGAAGTAAGTAATACACTTAAAGATTTTAAAAAAAATTTAAGAAAAATATATCAAAAATTACTTTTTGATATAAACTCCTGGATAAAATTAACGCACTATGTTAACGCACCATGTTGAAGTATGTTGAGTGTAGTTCGAACTTTCTCGGGCAAGTTCAATTTGAGGAACGTTCCCATAATCTAGGAAAGTTCTCCACATTAGTGACAATTTTGACAGAGTTAACATTTGGCCCGCTCCTTCTTTTGTATTCTGATTTCTTGAGTAAATGTGAAAACGTTCCTAAAACAGCCATTTCAAGATGGCGTTTGAATCGACAACATAGAATTATGGCACGCTCCAGAGAAGTTAAAAAAAATAACTATACATTTTGATGAGACAGGGCCAGGCAAAGCAAGCAATCTTGCATCGCACTTTGATCGCTGCTTTCTCGCTTGTTTTGAATTTTACGGTAGACATGCTCAATGGCTCGAAACAAATGTACCAACAAAAATAAAGTAAGGCCCTACGTATCACAGAGAAGATATTAGGAATTAGAATAAATATTAGATATTAGGAAGAGCAATTTGGAATTATTTTACTTCAACCAAGGGAACGGAATAGATAATTATTTCTAATTATTATTTCCTAGTTCATAATACGTTAAGGATCGACAAGAGTGAAACTAGCACTTCTGTTGGAATAAAAAGTAAAACACGGAAAAGTTATTCCAATATTTTGGACACAATTACAAGAGAAACACATATAATAATTATTATATTCATGTTGAGAAGAAGTATATCGAAAAGCGCTGTTTTGGAAAAATCATCGAAAAAAAATTTTTTGGTAAAAACGTGCACTTTTATTTTTTATAAAATTTTGAGAATCAAATTGCGCGCGCGCAAAATTGGACTCTGTATGTCGCTGTATAATTATAATTATATAAGAAATATATTATACAAAAAGAATCATGAGAAAATATTGTTTTTTTGTCTCACAGTTTTAGAACAACAAAATTGCTAAATCTGAACGATTTGTATGTCAATGGTTGCTTGACAAGAAGAGACAATCACCTCGTACTAACGTAGCAAGACTAGCAAGCGCCCGCTTATCGTACTTTTCATATATACATATGCATATATGTGCATATATGTAAATGAATTGTTGGTGAATATTATATATAAAAGTTGAAATCATTTACGGATTGATAATAATTAAGTAATGATATACACGATAATAAAATTTATTATCAAGAAAATATAAGTGCCTTTTATACTTGCTAAAACATTACTTTTTTTTTTACTCCATCACATAGAGAATAATCAAATAAGAATAACACGGATTACAAAGATTTTTTGCTAAAATTAGGGATGTCCCCCAGGGTGGGCCCGAACGTTCCGGCCAGACTTTGAGATTTGATAGAAAATTTAATTCTGAACAAAAAGTTTTGTATAAACATGGGCCAAAAAATGCTTCCTTAAAGAGTTAGCGCCCAAAAACCACTGAAATCACGGTTATACTTTTACAAATATCAGGGAAAGTATGCGTTTTTTAACAAAAAAGTACTAAAACAAAAGTTGTAGAGAATTAAATTATTTTTCAAATGAGATTAAAATGATTGTAGTGCGTTCCATAGGTTTTGAGATAACCAGTTTCAAATGTACAAAAAAGTGTTTTTTCGGCTATCGACGGTAGAGCTTTTTAAAAATACTCTTCATTTATGCTGTTATAGCCTTAGCTAATTTTTAATGTTTATCTTGCTTGTTGATTATTCCACTAAAAAAATTTTGAGCCACCAACCTCTCAAGAGTAAATCGTACGGGGTTCTGTGCAATTGCTGCATAGCTGGACGTTAGCCGTATTCATGTTATCTAGGAATGGCTTAGCGCGTGGTTTAGCGTGTGGAAGGGATGGAGTATTCTACACGTTAACAGTGAACCGATCCCCGAATTAGTAGCATATAGAGAAGAATGAAGTGAGAATGGCTCCCCGCACACAAGCGACATACCGTGTACGTATGCACTCCCTTTCCATTTACAGGAGAGACAATGAAGTGTCTGTCCTTGTCCGGAGTTTCTTAGTTTCCCCGCATGAGGTCACCAAAATTCAGTCTGGACTGGGCCGTCACTCTTGTTGACTCTTAATTTATTTTATTTTCTCGTTTTGAAATGGAATAATATCAATTTTTTACATCTAATATTTAATATTGATTCTTATTCCTAATATTTTTTCTGTTGTGCGTAAGACCTAAGAGAGGTCCTAATTTATCTCTTATTTGGATAAAATACCAACTTTCCCAGGTTTGGAAACTTTCCCTGGCTCAGAGGAAACTTTCCAAATCTTTCGAGAACTTTCCCGAGGCTTCGAACTATACTTTTTGGCCATATATATTTACGATATTACTTCAAATAACATAATTTTCAATAACTTTTACGCTATTATAAGATGCTAATTTTTCTTTTCAAAATAAATAATTAAAATTTTAAAAATTTATAAAGAAAAGAGAAATTTGATGTAACCATTTTCATGTGACACACTTTGGAATATACAGGGTGGGCCATTTTAATCTATGCACCCAAATTTCTCCGTAAGTAAGCCAAATACAGAAAAATGGTTCAGACAAAAGTTGTTCAAGACAATGGGGGTCACCTATTTGTGCTAGTGACTTTGACCTTGAAGTCAATTTTTAAGGTCATTTGAAGGTCAGAGTTATTTTTTAAAATGGAAACCCCTATTTTTGATTTCAAAATCTAATAGCTGGTGTCAAGAGCTTTTCAAAACACTATAATGAAGTTATTTTTTATTAAGTACTTTTCGAGTTATGAGGCTTGTAAATTACTAGTATTTTGACATAAAATTACAAAATATCTTGTGAA